TAACAAAGTCCTGAGTTAAGAAAAATACAACAAACACACACACGGTGGTGGTGGTGCACGCCTTTAATCCCAACACTTGGGAGACAGCAGCAGATAGATCTCTGAGTCTGAGGCCAGTCTGGTCTACAGAGTGAGTTCCAGGACAGCCAGGGCTACACAGAGAAACCCTGTCTCAAAAAACAAACAAATAAAAGGGGATGGAGTGGCAGAAGAGATACCTCAGTTAATCAAGTGCTTGCCTTGAAAACATGAGACCCTGAATTTGACACCAAAACAAAACTCACTTTTTAAAAAGCTGGGTACGGTGGCACTGCCTGTAATGAGGGAGGAAAAAAGAGACATTCAGCCTAGCCTATTTGGCAAGTTCCAACCCAGTAAAGGACAGCTTTAAACCAGTGTTTGAATAGCAAGAGTACAGTTGCACACACACACACACACACACACACACACACACACACACACCAAAGCGCTGCCCCTGTGTTTGCATGAGATAATTCTGGATTATGTTTTCTGCTTTCTGCATATTCACCTTAGGGAAAAATAGGACTCTTATGCTCTCCAGACATCCCTAGCCCAACAATGGGCACATCAAAGATAGCCCAGTAGCATGTTCCAAACTTACTGGCTGAAAGTGTGTAATGAATTTGTTACTATATTACCAAGAAACTCACAGAGGGATTATCTAACACCATTGTTCTGGTTAGGGATTCCTTACTGCAAGGTGGCCTGGATTGATTTACCTGATTAGAGACAGTGCTACCCTGCAGCTAAGACTGCTGTCAATAAGTAAACACATATCCCATCACCAGGGCTTTTAAAGTCAAACTGACTTTGTGAAGATGATGAGTAAATTCTTCTTTCAGATTTGCACTGCAGAGTTTGTAGACTCCCTGCCAAAGGGGTGAAAGGCAATGACACAAAACATGACCTACTCAAATCACCTGCTCCGCTAAGGTCTGTGTAACTGCTGCAAACAGAGTTAATGCAGCCTGGAGGTGACTCCAGGGCTTTGGTTGGTTGGGTTTTGAGTCCGATAAGCTATTGAGACAGGGTCTCATTCTGGAGCCCAGATTAGCCTGGAACTCATCAGTATTCTAGTTTCCTTCCTGTGGCTGTGATAAAAAATATTTTGATCAAGAAGCAACTGGTTTATTCCTTTTACCATTCCAGGTCACAGTCCATAGCTAAGGGAAATCAAGGCAGAATCCTGAAGGCAGACCTGCTTCCTAATCCACACAACATTACCCCAAACAAGGAACTCAATTCACTGTCAAAGAAGCCTGGCAGGAACCATGGAGGATGCTACTGGAAGACATGCAGATTTATACTCAGTTATCCTTACATAGTTCAGGTTCACTTATGTAGGGAATGGTGTCACCCACAGTGAGCTAGGACCTCATCCATCAATTAACAATCAAGATAATCACCCAGACACGCCCACAGGCCAACTGGATTTAGGCAATCACTCTTTCCAGACTCCTTCCCCATATAATTCTAGGGTGTGTCAAGTTGACAGCTAAAGCTAACTAGGGCACCCAGACTGACCTAGAATTGCCAGACTGGCAATCTTTGGCCTCAGACTTCCGAGTGATATGATTGCAGGGATATACTACCATGTCCAACTGACCCTGGAGCTATTAATTTCAGTTTCAATGAAAGGTACTTTTCAAGCTAATTACATTTGCTTTTTTATGTGTTTGTTCATTGTGACCACATCTGCTCTCTGGATTTTAAAGTTTACCCAGATTTAAGTGAATCTGAAACGGGACAGTAACCACTTATATTCACTCAGAAATGAACTTTTAGCCTTGACCCTAGAGCCCCGAGAGCCTGCAATGGGACACTTATTAGGGATTATCTGGAGGTTCCCTTGACTGAGAGGGCTCTTTTCTATCAGAAATGCCGTGTCTCTGGGAGGTGTAGTCCTCTAAGGGAATGGCAATATGGGAAGGGAGCCAGCCAGGCAAACACAATCAAACCAACTTAGTTGGGATACCCTGATGTAGCTAACGGGCAGCTGTCTCTGTGTTCCCATTCAGATGGCAGAGTAGGGGGCAGGGCAGGGACCAAGCACTGCAGATACTGAGGGACAGAGGGGACTGTCTTTGTCTTTGCATTCAGACCAAGAGACTCAGTGTCCTCCCTAGGAACAAGACCCTTTCAGTTCCAACTCATGTACAGAGGAGTTGTTTATTTAAGGCATGACTACAGAAACTGGTAAGATGGCCTCCCATGGAGGCTGAGAAAAATGATGACTTTATATTTCAAAGTTGAAGGCCATTTCTCTATATTTTTAATCCAAGTGTTTTATTTTTCTCTTTAAACTAAATATTCCTTCCCCTTTTCATCCCCACCCCTGCCCTGCATCATCTCAAACATGGCATGTTAAAAATCAATGATGCCAAGGCTGTAGCTAGCGGTCATGTGCATGTGTAGCAAACATGAGTCTCTGACATCAATTCCAGACAATTAATAAAAAAATTGCCAGATTATAACTCACACAAATGTCAACAAGGATGCCATGAGAAATCAGCTGGAATGGGATATTTAGTTCTAGGAAAATGGTGCATTCAACAGTGCAACTGGTTAAAACAACAACTATAGCTATGTCAAGGAATACCACGCAATAGTCCACAGGAATGGAAGAATTCTGCTTACTGTGCAAATGACGCCAAAGAGGCCTGCCACATGAAAGCACAAGAACCTGTAAGTTCCAGGGATATACCAGTATGTGTCAGGGTTCCATCTAGGGGAACACTGTGTGTGCTTGAGTTATAATGGTTGTGTGCACGTGAGACAGGCTTGGAAGGAGGTTTATAAAACCTCACAGTGCTTTCTTCTGAGGCTGGGTTGGGGTGGGGTTGGAGAGGACAGAGAACACGTACTCCTCCATCTGGAGGGATGTTCTGTTTCCCAAGCCTCTGTCCAGGTGGCAGTTCTGGATGAACAGAAGCTACCCTTCTCTATCCACAGATGGACCACATTTACTTACTAATCGGCCCATTAATTAATGATGAGAAGGGGGTCTCAAGAAGTTTACCATGGCTTTCAATTCCCAAGGAAGCCGAGGATGACTTTGAATTCCTGATCTTCTTGCCTTTCCTTCCATGTAGTTTTATAAGTGCTGGCAATAGAACCTAAGGCTTTGGGCATGCTAGGCAAGCACTCTACCAAATGAGTACACCCCCAGACATCCATCCACTCTTTTGAAGAGTAAATCACTGGTTGAGTCCACCATCTCAAATGAAACTGAATCCTTGACAATAACAGACATCTGACCACATGAACCACCTTCCGTTAGCCATCATTCCACAGTCTATGCAGACACTACCCCTAAACCCATATCCATTACTATTTGTACCATATGTACAAATTATAAAATATAATAAGAAGAAATGCATTAATCTGTGGCCCTTTTAGTTTCCTACAACTCAATCAAACAAAAGTATCAGGAAGTTAGCCTGGGCTTTATTCTTACAACACCCCCATCTTGCAGCATTGCAGGGTGGGTCATTTGAGTCACCACTGTGATCTAAACACCCACTTCCTCCCAGGAAGCACTGGAGGTCAAAATGCAGCAACAAAAATGATGTGTCTGTTAGAGATCACTTTCCTGAGAACAAAGAAAGGCCTATGGATACTCAAGCTGCATTGTCCACAGGGTGTGATTTAGAATCACCATAAAACACACTTCATGCTGTGTCTACAAAGTTATTCCCAGACAGTTTTAACTGAGCTGCTCTCCTAGTTTCCTTTCTGTTTCTGTGATTTAAAAAAAAAAAAAAAGGAAAGAAAAGAAAAATGTATCTTAAGGATTTAAGCAGATCACAATCCCAGGTCACAGTCCATCACATCAAGAAACACACTGCGCAAGGAACTTGAAGCAGCTAAGTCATACCCACAGTCAAGAGCAGAGAGAAAATGAAGACAAGCATACCTCCTTGTGCTCAGCCCCCCTCTGCACTTAATACAGACAGTCTATGTGCGATGCCCTGCCTAGGGAATGGAGCCACCCACTGTGGGTGAGGTTCTTCCATATTAATTAATATAATTAAGACAATCCCCCATAGTCATGCCCACCAGTCAACCTCACTGAGACAGAATTCTGTTTCCAGATGATTTTAAATTGTGGTCAGTTGACAACCAAAATTAACCATAGTCAGGAAGACCCAAGCTAATAAACCATGAGTGACATAATCTCATGGGCTGAGTCCAGCACAGAATAAAAAGGAGAAAACAAACTGGACATCAGAAGTCTTTGCTTCCTGTCTCTATATGCAATGCAACTAGCTGCCTCAGAGTCTTTCCACCATCATGAATTGTGCCCTAGGACTGCAACCACACTAGCCTTCCCTTCCTTAAGTTGCTCTTGCCAGGCATTTTGTCATAACAATGTGTAAAGTAACTAATACAATAGCTGACTCAAAATCATCCTAACTATGTAATTTTTAAAATGTCCAGTGTGACTAAGCCATACCTGGACATCCCTTCAATGGGAACATAGCGATTGAACATAGCGAATGAATAGTGATAGCGAATGAAGCTCTCTTTAGTATGGACATTTTAGTTACTATAATTTAAGAGAGAAAAGCACCGTGGGAAAATAAGCCCAAACTACTGGTACTTGGAACATATTTTATATTAGAATAAGACCTCATCTCATATTCTTGACTATATAATCTACACACACTGGTGGACACCTGCCCGCTGTGGGCAGGCTTATGGATCGGCTGTGTTATCATTCTGTCTAAGGCCACCCATGGAACAGTTTCCAAGGTAACCAGGAGTTAGACATTAAGTACATTACTGATGCCAGGTTGGCCACCATCTCCAAGGAAGGTGAATAATACCAAAGTTTCCAGCCTCCTGGCACTAGTGAACCAGTGGGGAATGCAACCAAGACACGTGCAGATGACCCACAACAATGAACATCGGCTTGTAACTTGGGGAGATGGGGGTCCCTCAAGCAGGGGTCATCATCCAGGTCCAGCAGCACTTACTCCTCTTTCCTCAGGAGCTCCTCCTCGGATTGTGTGAGGCGCTGTTTCAGCACCGCAATCATTTCCACCGCCACGTCCACTTGTCTGTTCAGGGCGCGTTCTCGCCTCTGAACTTCCTGCTTCTTCTGAGTCAGCTGCACGAAGGCTGCCCGGACCTCCAACAGTTCCGCGGTTTTCTGGGCCAACTCTTTGGTGAGTTTATCGATTCTCTTCTCAATGGTCCTGTCTACAGCCTCTACCATGCGATTGAACTTTTCTCGGACGTGGGCCTCAAAAGCACCTTTGGTGTCTGGGGTGGGAAGTCCAGGGCTCGATCCCGGGGCTTCCAGAGAGTCAGCCCGAATGTCCACGGCCGTGTAGGTCTGCACATAGGACACGGGCCTCTCTGCCACCATCTCAAAGGGCTTCGGGTCCTTGGAGTGCCCATGGGAGATGCTGTACAAGTTAACATAGCTCGGCTTCTGCTTGGTCACCTTTGCGTGGCCCCGGAGCAGTTTCCCCTGCTTTGGGAGTTCCGAGGACCTGACTAGCTCTGGCAGGTGGCTGCATTTTGTCAGGAGGGTCCGCTCCTCATAACTATGGCTGAATTCCAGATGGGCCCTCAAGGATGACAAGCTTCTAAATCTGGTATGGTCTCCACACCTCGGGCAGCGGAATGGCAGGCACACAGCGACATTCTCCAACGAGTCCTGCCAACGGTACCGGCTTTCCTCAAAAGTCGTCTGTTGCATCACTCTGAAAGTCCTGGGAGAGGGAGAAGACACTCGTTTACGTGTCTGTCAAAAGCTACTGAAATGTCACCGACTGACAACGATGGCTGCCCCTCTCCAGGGAGGCGGTGGCTTTTTGTTTTCAATTAGCTTGTTGGTATCAACCAAGTAACTGGTTTCCTTGTGGCTTTTTTTTTTTATGACTACTTTGTTCTTATTAGCCCTCTCCCTTAGAGCCCTCCTACATCTGCCTGCCCTTCCAGATGATCTGTCCCCTTGCCTCCTGTCCCAATATCCCACCTCCACCTTCAAGTCACAAGTATTGGATTACCTTCCCTTCTCTTTCCTTGAGATGTCTTTTTATCCTTGTTTCATGGCTTATACCCACCCAAACACATGTAAATTGTTTTATATTGTACACACACACACACACACACACACACACACACACACACACACACACACACACACGTTAAATTCCAAGACCCTCCACACACACACACACACACACACACACACACACACACACGTTAAATTCCATCTCCCTTGTTTGAGAGAAAACACAATACTTGTCTTCTGAGGCTCGCTTATTTCATTTAACACAATGCCCAGCCCCACTCATTTCCCCTAAATGTCATACTTCTAAATTTCTTAACAGCTGAATAACATTTCATTTTGTATTTGTACCATGTTTCCTTTATCCATGCTTACTTCTGTTGATGGTCACCTATGCTGGTTCCAATGCTTAGCTATTGTGAACCGTGCAGCAATAAACATGGGTGAGCAAGCGTCTCTGGGTAGGATACAGAGTCCTTTGGGGATATGCCCAGGAGTGGTATAGCTGGGCCATATGACATTTCTATTCTCAGTTTCCTGAGAAATCTCCATGCCAATTTCCATAGTGACTACACCAGTTCAGGCTTCTTGGGTTTTAATGCAACTATTGCATTTAGTATTTAGAGTTTTTTTTTTTTAATGTTGATTTAAAACTAAAACCCCTGTGCCAAATGCAGCCACATCCATCCTCTTCTGTATGGCCTGCTGCTTCTGCCGTACTATCACTGCAGGTGGGTTACAGATGTCAGGGCCTGAAGAGGCAAGAACATTTCTAATCCAGCTCTGATCTAGCTGAGTGAAGGTGCCTAACTCTCTTCTACAGATGAAAAAGCCAGAGCAAGGAGGTGAAATAATAAGCCCCAGGGAGGGAGGAACGTGGTGTAGAAATAGAACTAAAGTGTTTTGCCCTCCTGAGTTTGGCACACTACATGGAATGTGTCCCACATGAATATGTCTTCACAGAGCAAGCTTGACAATCTTCTTAAGTTTGGGAAAGATGGATCAAGTCAAACTCAGGGATTAATCACTCAAGCTGAAACAAAATGTCATCTCACATTTTGCTTAGTATTTTTTTTATTTTAAATAGTGCTCCTTATTCATTCTCTCTGTCTCTCTGTCTCTCTCTGTCTCTCTCT